AGTGTGCTGGGCACGGTGGCTTATGCCTAGAATCCTAGTACTCTGGGAAGCCGAGGCAGGTGGATTGCCTATGCTGACAGGTTTGAGACCAGTCTGAGCCAGAATGAGACCTCGTCTCTAAAAATAACTGGGCATTGAGGTGGGCACCTGTAATCCCAGGTTGAGTCAAGAGAATTGCTTGAGCCCCAAGAGTTGGAGGTTACTACGAACACCACAGCACTCTACCGAGGGCAACAAAGTAAGACTCTTGTCTCAAAAAAAGAGAGAGAGAGAGTGGCGATGATTCTTCTATCTCTTCCTGTCGAGATGGTTGCCACTTAAATAACTATGTGGATCTTATGTTTAGGGAAAGAATATGCCAAAGCTGATGCGAGATGGCTTTATTCTGATCCAACCGTTGTGTCTCTGGAAGTTCTGACTGTCGTCCTGGATGGATCTCTGGCGTTATTCCTCATTTATGCCATAGTCAAAGAAAAACATTATCGGTAAGTGTGCTTCCTCTGTACTGCTGGAAAGAGGGGAAACATTAGCTCTCCCAGTGCCTAATGACATTTGGAATAGGTTGTGACCACATTTTTTGTGATCTAAATAGTAGAGTAGACCAACCTGACCAAGAGTGAGACCCCATCTCTACTAAAATTTAAAAAATTAGCCAGGCATTGTGGTAGGTGCCTATAGTCCCAGCTACTCAGGAGGCTGAGGCAAGAGGATTACTTAAGCCCAGGAGTTTGAGGTTGCTGCGAGCTATAGTGATGCCATGGCACTCTACCAAGGCGACAGAGTGAAACTCTATCTGCAGAAAAGGAACAAGGAGAATAGAAGTGAAAATTGTTTGATATTAGATAAGGATCACAGTGCCACCAGGATAATTTCAGACTTTTCAGAATCAAAATAATGAGAAAAGGCTGGGCCTGTTGGCTTGTACCTATAATCCTGGCAGTCTGGGAGGGCAAGGTGGGAAGATCCCTTGAGCTTCGGAGTTTGAAACCATCTTGAGCAAGAACAACACCCCATCTCTACTAAAAATGGAAAATTAGCCAGGCATCATGGGGTACTCCTATAGTCCCAGCTACTCAGGAGGCTGAGCCAGGAGGATCACTTGAGCCTAGGTGTTTGAGGTTGCAGTGAGTTATGAGGATGCCACTGCACTCTAGCTGGGACAAAAAAGTGAGACTCTGTCTCACACAAAAAAAATAATTATGAGAAATATGATTCAGTAACAACCTAGTCACTGTATTAACACCATTGGATAATTTGTCACCAAGATTTTAGATAATAAAAGAGTAATATTTCCATCCTTTTTTTACGAAATCACTCTAGAAAGTGATTGACACAAGTAAATTTGCTTATGTAATTCTGAGGTAGACATGCAAGACAAATAAAAAAATTTTTCAGAAGCAGACAGAGGAGGGTATAGGGCAGGCACAGAGTGGGGAGAAGGAAAAAGATGAAAACTGAAGCATTCCATCAGTCAGACTCTGAGAGACTGTAAACTCTCTCCCCTCCCTTTTCTTTCCTTCTTAAAGACAAGGTGACGTGGGGTAAACTGATTACTGTCCTAGGGGTGATTCCCTAAAACAATGTAACTGCATTCACATTTCACTATCTTATACTGAAGAAGTTTTGTTTTGTTTTGTTTTTTGGAGACACAGTCTCACTATGTTGTCCTCAGTAGAGTTCTTTGGCATCACAGCTCTCAGCCTCCCAAATAGCTGGGACTACAAGTGCCCGCCTCAATGCCTGGCTATTTTTGTTGTTGTAGTTGTTGTTGTTGTTGTTTAGCAGGCCCTGGCTGAGTTCGACCCTGCCAGCCCTGTATGTAGCTGGTGCCCTAACCACTGAGCTACGGGCTCTGAGCCTCAAAAAAATCTTTTGTAAAGCTTCATCATATAATGAAAATGAAATGAAAATGATGATGGTTTAAACTGGGTGTGGCGGTGTACATCTGTAGACCAAGCTACTCAGGAGGCTGAGGCAGGAGGATCTCTAGAGCCCAAGAGTTAGAAGCTATTGTGCACTAGGGTTGTGCCTGTGAATAGCCCTGTATTCCAGCCTGAACAACATAGCATGAGCTCATCTAAAAAAAAAAAATTCTCAACTATAATCCTGGCACTCTGGAAGGCCAAGGTGGGTGGATTGCCTGAACTCACTGGTTCAAAACCAGCCTGAGCAAAAGCGGGACCCCCATCTCTTAAGAAAAAAAAAAAATAGGCATTGTGGCAGGCACCTGTAGTCCCAGCTACTTGGTAGGCTGAAGCAAGAGAATCACAAGCCCAAGGGTTTGAGGTTTCTATGAGTTATGACACCACAGCACTCTACCAAGGGCAACAAAGTGAGACTCTGTCTCAAAAAAAAAAATCTTAAGCTTGAAAGAGACCACATAGATCATTTAACCCACTTTCCCCCCCACTCCATTTTATAGAGATAGTTAGCCATAAAAATTAAATTCCTCTTTGGTGCCTTGACATATTTTTGCTCCATGACCATGGATGTATCCAGGTGTTTTATTACTTCAAACATTGATAATATTTCTATTATTGAGCACTTTCTGTGTGCCAGGCACAGTACTTGGACCTCTCTTTACATATCACATTTAATCTCTGCAAAATTCTTTGAGAAAGGTGCTGTTATTATTCCTTTTATTGGGGGGAAATTGTAGCTTATGGCGAGATTTACATTCAGGTCTGTCTTTGCTAGTTCAGTTATTTTACTAAATCTTCCCAAGAATAAGCCAAGATACCTGAGAGTCCTTATTTGGCCCTAAGAATAATCTTCTAGAAAAGGCAATGTTGCTTCTCAAATGAAAGAATGAATCTTCGCGAGCAGCCCCATCACAGGAGCAGCAAGGACCCTAAGGTCCAACCTCAGCAAGGTTCCTACAGTGAAGACTGTGTTGATGCTACCATTAAAGGAAAGACATCCTGATTCCAGGGGCCCATCTGGGCCACACTCAAGTTCACCCCGGCTTCCTTCTAACAGGCACTTTCTGCAGATTTCCCTGTGCGTGTGCGAGCTGTACGGCGACTGGATGACCTTCTTCCCAGAGTGGCTCATCGGAAGCCCCAATCTCAACACCAGCTATTGGCTCTACTTTTGGGTCTACCTGGTATTTTTTAATGGAATGTGGGTACTGATCCCAGGACTGTTACTGTGGCAGTCATGGGTAGAACTCAGGAAAATACATCAGAAAGGAACCAGTTCAGGGAAAAAGTTTCGGTGAATTTCCAAAATCATAAACACTGTTATCTTGCTTTATGAGTGAGAATTATCAAACTTTTTCTGTGGCCAAATATAACACATTCGAATCTGTACTTTCTTTTTATATTGGCGTTCCTGAACAACCAGATTGAAATTGGTAGGTAGCAAATTTTTGTTGTTTTGTTGTTTTTCCAATTGAATGGCAATGCAGGGAAGAGAATAAATTTTAACTTTTAATGACATATTTAGTTATGTGTTTTTAGAGCTGGCAGTAATTGTTCCACATTAGTAAAGCAAATTATCATAGAATACCATACAGAGTATTATATTAATTTTTTATTCTAAAGAACATGATGTTGTTTCATCTTTTAATCTCACCAGTGCTTTTTGGTTACCCAAGTGAAACCAGAAATGAAATGAATGTTTCTATTTCATATTTGTACTTTTTCAAATTTTTGAGCCCAACAAAAAATAATAGTGAGAACTTGTGAATGGGACAATAACTCCTCAGGGGTAAAACTTGGGGTCCCCACATAGACAGATGATTGATTTATATCTGTCCTCTTTTTGAAGGGAATGATTTGAGACATCTTGCAGAAATACATAATGAATTATGATAAAAAGTAACTCAGGAAATAGGAACACAGGGAAAAATAAGAGTGGGAAATGTAAGATGAATGTAAAGTTAAGATGTAAGATGCACACCCTGACATGCCACAGAATCAAGAGGAGTGAAACAATTTGACAGTTACCCTCAGGGCCAGAAGGGGGACACAGTCACACTGAGTTTCAGAAAACACTGGTTCTGGGAGGTGATTATAGCAATTCTGTCCGGAGTGGGGAGGGTGCTTACATTAGCGTACTCCTCACTTGCCTTTCTTAGTAAGCTCTAAACTGGAATCTCTGGACTCGCTGCCTAGACACGTAGAACTTGGCACCCAGACCAGGCTCTCACCGTAGCTCGCACAGCTCAGTGCATCCATTCTCCTGCCAGCTGCCTCCTTACCCTGCAGAGGGGGACAGCTCTAGTCCTGGATGCCAGATGCATCTCTTCACAGGTACTTGAGAGATTTAGAGGCTGAAAAAATAGAGGCCATTTTTGACTTTTTTTTTTCTTCCCTCAGCTTTCTGTTTTGTGCTAACAAGTAACGTCATGAAAATGTGAGGGTTCTCGCGTTATTATACCAAGTGTTCAACTCTCTGGGTGTTGAGAGTTGTGGCTGGCAGCAGGATAAAGGGTCTGTGGACCGAGTGACCACGGTTGTGGCCCCGTTGGTGGTGCCTCCCTTGGGAAGGCCCATTCTGTGGGCATCCAGGAATCATCCTTAGAGGCTTAGCCGAGCACTCATATTCTCAAACCCAGCAGGACCCTGTAATCAACAATTTGACCCTTCTGTGTAACCCTCACAGAAATGCTTCACATCATGTCCTACTGGAACATCATCCTTAATGACCCACAGTCTAAATGAATACATTGTGGTACATATATACATGCAATGTAAGTATATTGTGGGGATATGGTCTATGAAAATTAATAAACTTCTGGGCAGTGCCTATGGCTCAGTGGGTAAGGCGCCGGCCCCATATAGCAAGGGTATTCGAACCAGCCCCAGCCAGCTAAACAGCAATGACAACTGCAACAACAACAACATCAACAACAACAAAAAAAAGCCAGGCGTTGTGGCAGGTGCCTGTAGTCCCAGCTACTCGGAAGGCTGAGGCAAGAGAATTGCTTAAGCCCAAGAGTTTGAAGTTGCTGTGAGCTGTGACGCCGTGGCACGCTACCAAGGGTGACAAAGTAAGACTGTCTCAAAAAAAAAAGAAAAGAAAATTAATAAACTACTCACAACAGCATGGATGAATTTCACAGACATAATGATAAATGACAGACATACCTTTAAATGACCAAAAGAATACATAGTCTGTAATTCTAAAGGCAGATGAAACTAATGAATGGTGCCAGAAATCAGGACAGAGGTTGCCTTTGGAGAGGATGGTGGGTGTGGTGAAAGGAGTTATGTCGGGGCTTCCGAGGCGCCAGTAATGTTCTGTCCTTTTTATTTGGGCGGTGGTTATAATTTGTGATAATACATTTGGCTATATACTTGCCAGTTGTATAATTTGGGGCATAGATGTTATTCTTGAATTTTTTAAGTTTTTTTTGTTGTTTTTGTTTTTTGGTATGAAGACGTGAAAAATGTCTGCAGTGGGTCCTCATGAAGACTCATTCTGTGTCCTTGACAACAGATCCAGCACAACTGGGGCTGTTAGTGACGGTGTGCAGGGCGTGTGCAGGGCGTGGGCCAGCAGCAGGGGCAGTGGCAGAGGTCGGGTGGGCCTTCCTGTGAGGGTTGCCCTCATGTGTCCAGTGCTGTGCTCTTTGCCGATGGGCTCATCTGAGGATAGACAGAGTGAGTAAATCGGATGGGCTACTGGTCCTGCTCACCGTCCTGGGAGCGGAGTTTCTCTCAAGTGAGTTTTTGCTGATTATTAAGTGGGAGAGAAATGGGGATTATGGACTCTGACAGGAACTCTGAGGACTGAACTCTGAGCTGCCAAGTGAGGACAGACTTAACTGTTTTCACAATTAAGTGAACTGGAAGGAAGGTTGGTGTCCCTGTGTGGCTGTTAAGGAGCCACAGGTCACTGTGAACAAGCCTAAGCTGACTTAGCAAACACCATATTTCACTGATTCTAAAATGGTTCCCCCTCCCCCACTTTTTAACATTTAAAAAATTAGGATTGCAGTTGCCAAGTCATTTTTCTTTCAGAAATACAGGGCATCTCATGCTTGATGGTACCTTCAAGTCAATGAAATGAGGCACCACCTTCAATGTTGTCCCCCTCATTAAGCTTCAGTATCTACGTGCAGATGATAGACTTGGGTTTATTTTTGAAGTCTAAATTGCGCTTGGGAACTTAGGGACCATTTACCCGAGTGCCTTCTATCCCTCCTTGTCACATTTGTTGCCTGGGTGCCAGCTGTAGAAGGCCCACTTTAATGAATATATAAAATGATTTGCAATAGGGTTATGTGTGTTTATATGGAAGGGAGTGAGATTTCTGCAAACTAGCCATCTCTCCTCCTGTGGTTTGAATGTGCCCTCCCAAGAAATATGTACTGGAAACTTCCCCAATGCAATAGAGTTGAGAGGTGGGACCTTAAGAGGTGATTCCATCATGAGGGGTCTGCCCATGAATGGATTAATGCCGTTATCACTGAGTAAGTTAGTTATCTCAGTAGAGTGAGTCCTGCTAAAAGGGTGAGTTTGGGTTGAGGAGCTGGCCTGCAACCTGCCCGGGCAGCGCCGGTAGCCACTCCTGCCTGAGTGGCCACCTCCAGACACCTCCTGAGGGATCCCGCTGAGGAGGAAGCCGAGGTGTCACTGGCTTCAGCCTTTGCCAGTGGACAATTAAGGGGGACTACAGGTTATGGGTGCTTCATGTGTGCTTTCAGAGCAGTAGTGTGAGGAAGGTTGAAGTGGGATGGCAAGACAGCCTCATCCCTATGACAGTAACTCCGGTGATCCAGAGAATTGGGATCGGAAATTGCATAGTAGACCTCATAAACTTTATAAACATTCAAGTACTCCCTCACGTGTTGCTAAAGGAGGAGTCGACCATACCAAAATGAGTCTACATGGTGCTAGTGGGGGGCATGAGAGATCAAGAGATAGACGAAGGTCAAGTGACAGATCGCGAGATTCATCTCGTGAAAGAACAGAATCTCAACTCACTCCTTGTATCAGGAATGTTACTTCTCCAACATGACAGCATCATGTTAAAGGAGAAAAAGATCACAGTTCCTCTTGTCCAAGTAGTCCTCGTCCTCAGAAAGCATCCCCAAATAGTTCCATTAGCAGTGTTGGGAACAGCAGCAGAAACAGTAGTCAGTCAAGTTCAGATGGTAGCTGTAAGGCATCTGGGGAAATGGTGTTTGTATGTGAAAATGCAAAAGAAGGAGCTCGGAATGTCAGAACCTCAGAACGAGTGACACTAATAGTGGATAACACTAGATTTGTTGTAGACCCATCTATTTTTACTGCACAGCCAAATACAATGTTGGACAGGATGTTTGGGTCTGGCCAAGAACATAACTTTACATGTTCCAGTGAGAAGGGAGAGTATGAAGTGGCAGAGGGAATTGGTTCCGCTGTGTTTTGAGCTATTCTGGATTACTATGAGACAGGAATAATCCGTTGTCCTGATGGCATATCTATTCCTGAACTGAGAGAAGCATGTGACTATCTTTGTATCTCTTTTGAATATAGTACTATTAAATGTAGAGATCTCAGTGCCCTAATGTATGCGTTATCGAATGATGGTGCTCGTAGACAATTTGAATTTTATCTGGAAGAAATGATCCTCCCTCTCATGGTAGCTAGTGCCCAGAGTGGGGAACGAGAATGCCATATAGTGGTGCTTACAGATGATGATGGGTTGATTGGGATGAAGAATATCCACCACAGATGGGAGAAGAATATTCACAAATTATTTATAGCACAAAATTATATAGATTTTTCAAATACATTGAAAACAGAGATGTGGCCAAATTAGTTTTAAAGGAGAGGGGTCTTAAGAAGATTAGATTGGAAATAGAAGGTTATCCTACCTCTAAAGAAAAAGTAAAGAAAAAGCCTGGAGGCCGCCCAGAAGTGATTTACAACTGTGTTCAAAGACCCTTTATTCAAATGTCCTGGGAAAAGGAAGAAGGAAAGAGTCGGCATGTAGACTTTCAGTGTGTTAAGAGTAAACCCATCACCAACCTTGCAGCAGCTGCTGCAGACATTCCCCAAGACCAGCTGGTAGTCATGCATCCAGCCCTCAAGTGGACGAACTGGATGTTCTCCCCATGCATCCCCCATCTGGCAACAACGACCTCGATCCTGATGCACAGAATCCAATGCTGTGATGCTGATCCTTGAAACTATAGCATGCTACTCTTCATAGTGACGTTGTACTCTTCCTCATTCTGCACTGCAAGGCCACTCTTCTTCGTTGTGAGATGCACATAACAATGTTTAGAATATTGCAGTGTAGGCTTTTTGAAAGACCAAAGGTAGCTGAATGGTTTTTTAAATGAGTACAACTCGAGCATCCTGAAGTTCCAGTTATATAAATGTATTTGTTTATCAGTAGGTTTGTGAAATTGGTTCTTTGTATGGGGGAACAGTCCTTTTTCACACATTTAGGGCTTTTCAGAAGTGGTGAAAATTGGCAGCTGGGGTGCTTTCAGTCTAGATTGATAGTCACCACACCCCAGATAAAATGCAGAACATTATATAGTTGCACTTTATAAATGGTGGTTAAATGGAACTGTTCAAGCCATTTTATAGTTGTGATGCACAATATAAGTTAATTAAGTGCTTCTATCAAAGTATTCCTTCAATAAAAATGTGTATAGTTCGCTGCCCATGATGTGCAAAAAATGAGTATTTATCTTGGGCTTACTTGAATGATAGAATGAGATTCAGTGCCCATATTTTAACAGTTTGGTTATCTCCAGTGCCATTTTACCCTTTAGAGTGAGTTACATGCAGGGATTGTGAACATCAGAAGTGGTTTATTATCCAGTCTGCCTTACCCTTAGTCTGTTCACAGATATTTATTTACTAATGCTTTGTTTTCCTAAGAGTTATGGGATAGGAAAATGAAGTGTTTGCTCTTCATTTACTAAATGATTGTAAACTCGAGTTTTTCATCAAAATAAAATTCCATTGTTTTAAAAAAATAAATAAATAAATAAATAAAAGGGTGAGTTTGGCTCCCTCTCTGCCCCACCCACCCACAGTTCTCTTTTGCCCTTCCACCCATCTGCCATGGGATGATGGAGCAAGAAGGCCCTCAACAGATGCAGCCCCTCATTCTGGGACTCCTCAGCCTCCAGAACCACAGGCAAGTAAATTTCTCTTTATTATAAATAACCCAGTTTCAGGTATTCTGTTGTAGCATCACAGAACAGACTGAGATACCTCCCTAGTATTATATTGTTAATTTGCTTTGCAAACTCTTCCTTTCCAGATAACATTGAGGCAAATGTCAGCATAAGCCATTTAAAAGAGTCAGCAGTTCTCAACCTGTAGGTCGCGACCCCTTTGTAACATTAGGTGTAATTGTAGGCATTAGGAAGGTTGAAAACCACTGGTCTAGATAATGAAGTTTCCTTGCATTTAATTATGTCAGCTTTACAACTCCCAGAGGACGTAATAGTACTGGGGCTCCATAGATGGCAGTGTGAACATGGTCAAAGAAAACTTCATCACAGAAAGCCTTGATGAAAGCCTGAAAACGAAAAAGTGTAGAGAAGAATCCTTTGGGTTTTTTTATTTAAAAATTATTATTAAAAGCCATGTGCCCTTTTCTGGTTTGTTATGAAGGTTGAAGTTTGATGACTCTAAAGACAAGTTATTTATAAAGAGAAAACTGGGCAAACCCTTGTGCGAAAAAGGTTGACTACTGTTACCTTTACTTTTAATTAAGGTCAGGTGCAGTGGTGCACACACCTTTAGACTCAGTTACTGGGAGGTTGAGTTTGAAGAACTGATTGAGCCCAGGAATTTGAGACCAGCCTGGGCAATATAGTGAACATCTCTAGAAAATAATTAAAAAAAAAAAATCCATCAGGATAATAGGTTGCACCTGGCAGGCCTCAGGTAGTGTGAGCCATCCTCCTCTATCACTTCCCTTTTGGAGGCTCCAGGGGTGTCCAACCTTTTTTTTTTCTGCTGTAAAATGGAAGAACTGTTGTCTTGGGCCACACATTAAAAACACAAACACTAATGAAAGCTGATGAGCCAAATAAAAAAAGGTCCATGCATAATTTTCTCAATTTCTGACACCACAGATAAGCAAAATAGGCCTCAATCTGCATGCAGCCTTCACACTGCAGGTTGGACACCCCTGCACCTTCTCTTTCACCTTGGCACTGCCTCAAGCACTGCCGGGACATCTGCACACCCCAGACTTAACGAAATCTATTTCTTACCACCACTTCACTGTAGAAGACAAATCACATCCCTTCATTAACATTAAGGCATTAGTAACTGATAATAGTCTGATGCATCACCCTTCCTGAATAGATTTGCATTAAAAATTTATTAAACTATTGACATAGTTATTTCTGAAAAATGAAAAATTTAGGTAAGCAAAAAATAATAAAAATGATTATCCCCAGTATAATCAGAAGGAAATTTAGTTTCTCTTTTCTTTTTTTTGCAGTTTTTGGCCGGGGCTGGGTTTTGAACCCACCACCCCCGGGTATATGGGGCCAGCACCCTTCTCCTTGAGCCACAGGTACCGCCATAGTTTTTCAAGCATGTGTTACGCTACGTGTATATTAACACTTTGGGGTGACTCCTGAAGAAAGACTTTTAACATGCACCCTCTTTTCCTTGCTTTCTGCCTTATCGTCCAAGGAGTAATGGTTCTACGTGTACACTCCAAACAGACTGTGGGTAGTATTACAGAAAACACCCCCATTCTTGAGAAATTCATGTGCTTACAGAGATTGATAGTTAGCAGTTATTTCTTTTGGAAAACTTTGCTAGGTGATTATATTGGTGCAGACCAAGCTGACATCTGAAAATATCTGATTGGCCACCTTCCGACTTGTACGAGGCAGATCCAGTACACCTTAGCCTTCAGCTCTTCTCTTCCAGGAATGTCACCTCACTCTCAGAGACAGGAGGAAGGGACTCTGAATTCTCAAAGTTTGGTCTGTGTCACTAGAGTGGCTCTGGCTGGTGGCCTGTTGTAATTTTGGTACATCCATGTTCCTGGCTACACAGGACCTTCTCTCTGCCACACTTAGAGTCCTGGAATCTTACATTGCTCAGAGGAGTCTCGGAGAGGTTCTGATTATAAACAAGGAAACTGAGGTATGAGCTGGGACTCAGTTCACCTCAGAGCTCTCTTTCTGTTATACGTAGGAGTCTCTCAAAGACCACACCACCAGACAAGCTGAATTTAAAGAGGAGTCCTTTTATTGAAGAGCCGGCTGGCAACTGCCTTGGTATCCCAACATGGGATTTCTGAGAGCAACTCTCAGTTGTTTGAGGCTCTGGTTTTTATTATCGGGGGCTGTGCAAGTTAAGCAAGCATTATTCAAAAAGCAAAATTAGCCATTAGTACAATTCTTTTCCTTAAAAAGATAGGTGAGGAGTCTGGGGGAATTAAGAGGGAATGGAAATGTAGGGGGTAGGGGTATGATCATAAGAGCTGCAATCAAAAGGGAAATTAATGGGCTTTTACACAAGAAAGGCAGTTAGTAAAATTTTTCTACACAACACTAACAATTTTAACTACTAACAGTCCTATCCAAGTGTGCTCAAAATAGCATGCAATGGGTGGGGAGGCATTTGGAACTGGTTTTCAAGGTAATAAACTGTAACAAGAAGAGTAAACAACAGTAATGGAGTTGGGCCTGTTCTCCCTCCTCACTGATTCTCAGGACCCAGACTTACAGTAAAATGGAGTCAAGTTTGCTTTTCTTTAACCCTAACATGTTGCGTTGGGGTTTCACGAGAGACAGACAGTGTCACCACAGGTGCAGTCTCACATCTGGAATTATTATAGTGAAAGAGAGAGACTACTTCTCTGGTGGAAGTAGCAAAGCTTTATTGTTCAAGACCACCTTTTATAGTTGGCTGGTCATGTACACATTATTAATTAACAAGCAAAGCATTCATACTACTTTCTAAAGTTAGTTCAACCTTCAAAAAGACATAAAGTTTGAAACCTTGAGACAGCTGCAAAAGGGAGTTTGTGTAAAGACTTGAGACTACCAAGAGGGGAGTAAAACCTTGAAGTTGCACTATACACTCATTGTATTACAGAAAGCAGATTTATGGCTTCTGTCTCTGGCAATCTGGAGGCCTACGTAAGAGTTCACTTATCAACCCCTAGGCTGTGTCTCTGCAGAAAGGTTTTAACCCCTTCTTTGCAGGCTTAACAGCCACATGGCCAGAGTCACTGGAGATGGGTTTTTATGTCCTAATCCCCAGGCCCTGTTCCATGCTGACCAGGGATACCGGGTCATCGACAGAGTTGCCTTCCACAGAAGTCTGTCCACCTGTCTCTGGAGCTTAAAGGGAGCACATAGTCTGTGAAGGAGCACACAGCTGTGGGGTTTTACCCCACACTAACATTTCTTTTCCAACAGTGAGTCCCAAACTGAGCATTAGGCATGTTCCCAGGAGCCCAGAGATTGTGAAAAGTATGCAGCTGGGGGGATTGTTTTCACACTGTAAGATTACCCTGAGCCCATGCTGACCGTCCAGGTGGATACTCAGCATGCTGGAGTCACTGCCCAGTTCCAATTGTTTGACTTTGCATCCACTCCAGTTGTGTCTAGGGATGGTCCTCTTTGTATTTTTCACTGGGTTGGACCAGGTGGTCAGGTGACAACAGTTAACTTACAACACCACGGTTGTTCCAGGGGCAGAGGCAGCAGGTGCAGGCCACGCTCTCAGGGTTCCTTGCTCTTTCAAACTTGAGCTTCACTGCAACACAGGGCTTCCTGTTCTCCACAGTGATGTGTCTGTTTAAGATGCATTCCAATAAAATGTAAATCAAAAATTCTGTCTTTGCCTCTCATTTCTGACTCACAGTATTGTGCCAAGAGTGAGGTGAGCTGATCTTCATCATCTTTTGATTGTGTTTGAAGAGTTGGACTGATTCTGGCAACTGGGAGTGGCATCTAATTAGTAAGAACTGGAAACAGAAAATGGATTTCACAGGGCAGCCTTTGAGCACCATGGTCTGAACTCCCTCCTTAAATTCAGTCCCTGTCCTGTAATCTGACTGCAAACATTCATGTTCCCTGTAAGAGTGACATCTGGCGGCCTTTGGGGAAACAGGACAGCAGTTGGGCAGCTGATCTGTGGATTTTGATAGGATGATCTTATTCTATACAATAAAGCAGTTCTGCCTGTCATGGGTGCAGGAGTCACCGCCCTTTCCTCTGATCCCCCTCCAGTGACACATCCCATCTACTCACCCAGTTAACCCTATGGTCCCAGCTGCTGCATCAGGGAGCTGCTTCATGCTGGCAGCCTCTCCCAGTGGAAGCCTCTGAGCAGAAGGAGGCTGCTGCCAGCTGCCAGGATGAGGAGAGAACTGAACTCACTGGGTCGGTGTCTGCTGTCCTGCTAGGCCAGGCCTGGCCCAGACTCTGGTGCTGGGAGGCCAGTGACTCACTGCCTCCCCTGGCAGCAGGTGGTGAGGTATACTTATGCGGCAGCCTTTAGGGGAGGGGCGGGAGTGAGACCAGAGCTGGCATGAGCCCTTCCTCTGCTTCAGTCCAAAGCCTCATCTGTGGGTCTCCTCCCCCTGGGGCTTCCCGGCTCTTGGCGCAGGAGTGCCAGCCTTCAACATCTCATGCCTGTCTTTTCTCCTCTGCCTGCCTTTTTCCTTTTCCTAGTCAGCTTGGAAACACAGGCTAGAGGAAGTGATCACTTCAAGGTGCCAAATTCTAGGGCATCTAGGAAAAGGACTGGTGTTCTAGTGCTGCGGGTGCCGACTCAGCCTCAGACCACCTTTCTGTTCACTGCTGTCTGATCCTCAAGGTGACCTTGTGAACAACAAGGATAAGGACTATGTTCCCTCTGCAGAAGGACCTGGCACTGAAAGGCGAGCGATCTGCCCCGTGCCCTGGGCACAGGTGGCAGATCCTGTAGTCCGGATGCCCGAGAGGGGCAGGATGTGCCGGGCGCCCAGGCCATGCCCCCAGGC